TGTTACACCCCCCCCCCCCAAGGAAGCAGTCCGTACCAGCTATCTAACTCCCGGGTGCCTCATTTACTGCTAGGTAACAGGGGCATCAGGGTGAAAGGAACATTTTGCCCATTTGTCTCCGCCTCCACCGGGGATCGAACCCGGAACCTCAGGATTACTAATCCGAACCTCTGTCCATCCAGCTCTCAGGCGCCTCCAGGTGCCTCCATCTATCTATCCATCTACTGTCAGTCTCAGTCTCAGTCTCAGTCTCTCTCTCAGTCTCTCTCTCAGTCTCAGTCTCTCTCTCAGTCTCTCTCTCTCAGTCTCTCTCTCTCAGTCTCTCTCTCTCAGTCTCTCTCTCTCTCAGTCTCTCTCTCTCGTGTCAGGAATACTGGCAGTGTAAGGAATACTGGCAGTGTAAGGAATACTGGCAGTGTAAGGAATACTGGCAGTGTAAGGAATACTGGCAGTGTAAGGAATACTGGCAGTGTAAGGAATACTGGCAGTGTAAGGAATACTGGCAGTGTAAGGAATACTGGCAGTGTAAGGAATACTGGCAGTGTCAGGAATACTGGCAGTGTAAGGAATACTGGCAGTGTAAGGAATACTGGCAGTGTAAGGAATACTGGCAGTGTAAGGAATACTGGCAGTGTAAGGAATACTGGCAGTGTAAGGAATACTGGCAGTGTAAGGAATACTGGCAGTGTAAGGAATACTGGCAGTGTCAGGAATACTGGCAGTGTAAGGAATACTGGCAGTGTAAGGAATACTGGCAGTGTAAGGAATACTGGCAGTGTAAGGAATACTGGCAGTGTAAGGAATACTGGCAGTGTAAGGAATACTAGCAGTGTCAGGAATACTGGCAGTGTCAGGAAGACTGGCAGTGTAAGGAATACTGGCAGTGTAAGGAATACTGGCAGTGTAAGGAATACTGGCAGTGTAAGGAATACTGGCAGTGTAAGGAATACTGGCAGTGTAAGGAATACTGAGTGTAAGGAATACTGGCAGTGTAAGGAATACTGGCAGTGTAAGGAATACTAGCAGTGTCAGGAATACTAGCAGTGTCAGGAAGACTGGCAGTGTAAGGAATACTGGCAGTGTAAGGAATACTGGCAGTGTAAGGAATACTAGCAGTGTCAGGAAGACTGGCAGTGTAAGGAAGACTGGCAGTGTAAGGAATACTGGCAGTGTAAGGAATACTGGCAGTGTAAGGAATACTGGCAGTGTAAGGAATACTGGCAGTGTAAGGAATACTGGCAGTGTAAGGAATACTGGCAGTGTAAGGAATACTGGCAGTGTAAGGAATACAGGTTTTAAAGGCATGAGCTTCTTAGCTAGACACTGGAGTACAAACTATCAAACCCCATCCTTTACTGCATGAAACATGAAGGTAAACTAGAGTCTGCCTTATAGTAGTCCTGGTAATAAATACCTTAACACACATACCTGAGCAGGGGATGGCTCTAAGCCCACATGCTTCTCTCTCCTAGGAGCTGGTCAATACAGGAATACAGAAATACAGGCCTGGAATACAGGCGGTGTAAGGAATACAGGTGGTAATTACCTAAGTGTAGTTACAGGATGAGAGCTACGTTCGTGGTGTCCCGTCTTCCCAGCATTCTTTCTCATCAAACACTTTGAAATTACTGACGGTTTTGGTGTAATAAACACAGTGCAATAAACAAAGTGTAATGAATACAGGCACTGTAAGGAATACTAAGAGTTACACAATTGCCTGTACAGGCAATGTAAGGAATACAGGCAGTGTAAGGAATAGAAATTCATTGTGTTGGAGGAACAGGCAGCCAGAGTGCATTTATACACATTAGGCTTTTCTCGAGGTCCTCCTCAGGATACAACCCCACAACAAGCTGACTAACTCTTTGGTCCCTACTGATTGCTAGGTGAACAAGCGCATTAGGTGATAGGAAATGCCCCCAACCATTTCTGTCCCGCCCAGGATTCGAACCCGTAAGTCTAGATTGTGAGTCAAGAATGAACCCAACTGTGCTACCAGAACCCTCAGTGTAATTGGTACCGGGATTAATAATGTACAAAAGTATACAATTACTTTTACTTTTCAAATAATTACAATTACAAATCACATGGAATCACAACATCTGCTTAATTAACCCCAGACAACACAAGTTTAAAACAGGGCGCACTTGCTTCTCACAATTGCTTGATTACTATGACATGACCTTAGGTACACGCCTAGTTCGACTCAACTAGTTGTCCTTGTGGTGGTTGAGCTTCGGCTCTTTGGTCCCACCTCTCAACTGTTAATCTACTAGTACCTGCTTGATACGTGCTTTATGGCGTTCTGGGAGTTGTTTTACTCCCCAAGCCCAGCCCAAGGTCAGACTTGACTTGTGAGAGCTTGGTCCACTAAGCTGTTGCTTTTAGCGGCCCACATACCCACCACAGCCCAGTTGGTCTGGTACTCCTTGGAGAAAATTATCTAGTTTTCTCTGAAAGATGTCCACGGTTGTTCCAGTAATATTTCTTATACTCGCTGGGAGGATGTTGAACAACCGTGGACCTCTGATGTTTATACAGTGTTCTCTGATTATGCCTATGGCATCCCTGCTCTTCACTGGTTCTATTCTGCATTTTCTTCCATATCGTTCATTCCAGTATTTTGTTATTTTACCCTGTAGCTTTGGGACCTGGCCCTCCAGTATTTTCCACATGTATATTATTTTATATCTCTCTCATCTCCTTTTTAGCGAGTACATTTGGAGAGCTTTAAGACAATCCCGATAATTAAGGTGCTTTATTGTGTCTATGTATGCCATATATGTTCTCTGTAATCCCTCCATTTCAGCAATCTCTCCTGTTTTGAAGGGGAAAGTGAGTACAGTACTGAGTATTTAAGACAGGACAGTACAAGTGATTTGTATAGTACAACCTGAGATTTGTACAGATTCCTGAGCTTATCGAGCTCTATCATATCTACATTTGAAATTGTGTATGGAGACGGCCACCACCACATCACTTCCTAATGCATTCCATTTATTAACTACTCTGACACCGAAAAAGTTCTTTCTAATGTCTCTGTGGCTCATTTGGGTACTGAATTTCCACCTATGTCCCCTTGTGCAAGTACCACCCATGCTAAATAATCTGTCCTTATCTACCCTGTCAATTCCCCTAAGAATTTTGTATGTTTTGATCATATCTCCCCAACCTCTTCTTTCTCTCTCCATGTGCCATTTAAGGGATGTGGGGGATGGTATCAATGGTGTGGGGGATGGTGTCAGTGGTGGGGGGATAGTGTCAATGGTGGCACCCGGCACAATCAGAAAACATTGTATGAATATCAGAGGTCCACGGTTGTTCAACGTCCTACCAGTGAGCATCAGAAATATTACAGGAACAACCGTGGACATCTCCAAGAGGAAACTAGATTGTTTCCTTCAAGGAGTGCCGGACCAACCGGGCTGTGGTGGGTATGTGGGCCTGCGGGCCGCTCCGAGCAACAGCCTGGTGGACCAAACTCTCACAAGCCAAGTCTGGCCTCGGGCCAGGTTTGGGGAGTAGAAGAACTCCCAGAACCCATCAACCAGGTATCAATCAGGTACGTCAGTGTTTTGTTTGCCTTCATGGCATCTAATGCCATGTCCTAGTGATCCAGCAACTGTGATAGGCAAGAGCGCCCTGTTCTGAACCCATGTTGTCCAGGGTTATGGAGATGCTGTAAGTCCATGTATTTTGTGATCTTACCTCTTAGCACTCTTTCAAAGATTTTTATAAAGGAACTAGGAGTCCCTATAAAATAATGGCAACCCATGAAGAGCATATTTTGTGAATAATTTACACTTTGATAAAAGGTGTTAATTTTCCCAATGTATGAAGTTTTGTACCACCCTGAATAAATAGCTATACTGGTACTAGTGAAATTCCATTTGAAATAGATGACATTTTGCTCTCTGAATACCGGCATCAAGGTGTTCAGACCCTTTACTCGATACTTAACATCCAGCCACCCACATATGTAAATAAAAAAATATTTAGTACTTACAGACTGGTGGCATTTTATAGATAAATGTCTCATCCTGCAATACTTGCCATTGGTGTTTCCATGAAGGTATTATTCATATTTCTAAATATGATTTGAGCACTAGTAACTTATGTTGTGTCCAGATACCACTGACTTTCCTCTAGATTAGGAGATACAGTAATAGGTTTTCAACAATATTTGTCTGGTAAAAGTTTAACATATAGATCCCGTTTCTGTCTCTCTTCTGACTAGTAAATAATTTTGGTTTAATAAGTTATCAAGATGTTTTCAGCAATATTCTTTGAGAATTTGTCTATTCCAACATGAATGACCATTTTGGAAATGCGATACATAGGTTGACTCAACTGAGTGGGGGGTCAGATTGTAACAGGGTACAATCTGTATATTGACCAAGTATACTGTAGTTTAGAATGGTTATTGTAGGATAGAAAGGTGTTGATAGAGGGACAATGAACTGAAACTGCATATTTTTCTTACATGGTTCACTTAACCAATATGCACAAAACACTTGGTTTCAGATTAACTCCCCCCATCCCTCCCTCTGCCAACTTATCTCTTTAAGCTAACATAATTATATTAACACAGCCTTTACCTAACCTAGCATTTCCAGAAAAGCCTTCCAAACTGTTCTTTGATTCTTCTCTTTCTTTGCTGTTAATCTACTTGAAACGTACAAACAACATGCTAAATTAACTCGTATAATGTCTTCCAAGGTCTGCATCTTGGAACCTTGAAGTAAGATGATAAGGCTCAATTGAGACAGGATATAATTAGAAAACAAATTATAGTCTTGCAATTTGTTGGCTACAAATACAGATTTATAGTTTACATTGTTACAGCTCACCATGTTTACTGCAATCGACTGCTTCTCGTCAAGATCATACAGATGACAAAGGGATGACTTGGCAATGAACAGGAAATGAAAATGGTGAATCTCGTTTTCTGTATGAACAAAGATATTTCTAATATTATCTATAATATAGCATATTCTTACTTCCATCTCGATCTCTGGCTCTTGAGAGTGAAGGTCGTCCACCTCCATTATCAGAAGCCTTAACTTGCCTCTACTGCAGGAAAAATATTCACATAATAGTGTGGAAGATTTCCAACGTGTCTATGTTTACAAACACCAAAGTGACCAAAGGATTTTTATGACGTCATATTAATCCATTGCCTATGAGGAGGAGTTGATTGGTCGCTGAGGTTGATACGTCACTTCCTGGTTTAGTAAGCCAATGGGAGAGTCCTTCTTGGATAGAGTATAAAACTCTTCCTGGGTAAGAAAATTGATTATAAAAGAGTTTATCAAACATATGCCTAAAGAAAAAACTTTTATATTGTCTATTTATTTTGTTGTTTGAAGTTTATATTTTTATAAAGTTATTGTATTATATATTTTTAAGATTTCTATCAAAATTTGTTAGAAGTAATATTATTGGAATAATCAGCTGTGATTGCATCACTGGTGAATGGAGACACCTGATTGGTTACTCAACTCTCTTACGTCACATATTCGTTGACTGATGCACGAAAACAAACAGTAGTGCACGGGCACTGGCACTGCAAGAGTCAAATAGAGAGAAAGATCTGGGGTTTGATATCACACTGATCCTGTCCCCAGAGGCCCCACATCAAAAGGATATCATCAGCGGCATATGTTAGATTGACCAATATAATAACTGCCTTTAGAAACTTGAGTAATGAATCGCTCAGAACCTTGTATACCACTCATGTAAGACCAATCCTGGAGTATGCAGCTCCAGCCTGGAGTCCATACCTAGTTAAACACAAGACAAAGTTAGAGAAGATTCAGAGGTATGCCACCAGACTAGTCCCAGAACTGAGAGGTATGAGCTATGAGGAAAGGCTACGGGAGATAAACCTCACGTCTCTGAAAGACAGAAGAGTAAGGGGAGACATGATAACTACCTACAAAATTCTCACGGGAATTGACAGGGTGGACAAACTATTTAGCACGGGTGGAACATGAACAAGGAGACGCAGGTGGAAACTTAGTACCCAAATGAGCCACAGAGACATTAGAAAACATTTTTTCAGTGTCAGAGTAGTTAACAAATGGAATGCATTAGGCAGTGATGTGGTGGAGGCTGACTCCATACACAGTTTCAAATGTAGATTGATAGTACCCGATAGGCTCCAGAATCTGTAACACCAATTGATTGACAGTTGAGAGGCGGGTCCAACGAGTCAAAGCTCAACCCCCGGAAGCACAACTAGGCGAGTACAACTAGGTGAGTATGGACACGGAACTATAAATTACTTTTTGTGGACGGTCTCGAGCTCCTTGTTGGTATAACAATAAATTGAGTATTATAACAAGCTTATCAAGACTGTAACTTGCTTAGCTAAATGAATTTGGGAGTTCAATCGCTGAGCCCATTAATTATGTGCATAAGAAATGAACTAAAGTAAATTAACTGGTAGACAAATGTAAACTCTGTCAACAAAACTATTCACATAACTTAGGTCACTATATAATTGAATAAATTGAATATGAGAAATTGTCAGAAAGCTGGGATAATTCTATTGCAAATGTTCAGGAAAAGTGTACGGTACTTCATATATAGTTCTCAGTAGTATGGTCGGGTTCTTACGGGCTATTCATACCCGTGCCGTGCCACCATTTGGGTGGCTTAATCTTTATCAATCAATCAATCAGTCGGGTTCATTCTTGACTCATAATTAGGAATTCCAGGTTCGAGTCCCAGTCGGAACAGAAATTCGTAGGTGGGTCCCATTACCTAATGCCTCTATTTACCTAGCAGTAAGTAGGTATATCCAGGTGATAGTCGGACGTCGGACGGGCTGGAAAATTAGCTTGTGGGATTGCATCCTGGGGAGGGTCAATAGGACCCCTCGGGGGGGGGGGGGACCTCGATGTAAGTCTGACGTTTACCTGAATTTACCTGAGGGCCGCTGACACTAGTGGCTTCGACGAGGACATGAAGCCGGCGGCTTGTCGAAGGTCCCTCTCCTCCATTTGCCTTTATAATCTTTTCCAGCTGTACGGTCTTGACATTTACGGCTTCGGCGGGTAGGCAGTTCCATGGGTTAATAACCCTGTGGGTGAAAAAGCATCTTCTGTTCTCATGTATATATTCGCTGGCTGCTTGACCCCTGACTCAGTGAAATATATTTATTATGGATTATTCCAAATGATCGAGGTACTATACAGGAAATCTTAACCAAATAATAATAAATCATTTTGTCGGCTGATAAGCAGCCATGTATAAAATTAATAGTAATAATTTTAGTTTAATTTAATTAATAGTATTAATAATAAGTAAGAAAAATGGGTGGTAGTGATTGAGGGGAAGGACTAGTGTGAATTTAAATTTGTCTCAGGTAAATTAAATTGTTACTGGAGTTCTCGATATAATTGGCCTCAGTTATAAGCTGCTTAAATGTAGGCAATAAAACGCTTTGCGTGTTAATGGCCTTACAAGAATGTATCACATAATCACCAATGTACTTATTTTCTTGTATATAAATAAATAAATTAATAAATAAATAAGCATGACCATTGAATTTCCGGTACAACAACTTGCTGGTGTGTACGGTAAGCGGCCCTTGCAACGATGCCTGACCCTCCACCAATGAGCGAGCGGTACGCTGGTGACGGTGCCTAACTCTCCACCAATGAGCAAGACGGACGTGTGTTGACGTTGGTTGTGTTGTCAGCAAGTCTCGCGCCACCACGCTGGAACTGCCAGGAAGGCAAGAATATACAGGACTGTATTGAGCGGAATGAAACTTAACGGGATTATCTGTGTATTCACGCTCTTCGCGTATGCTTACGGTATGTTTTATTGTTCAATTGTTTTTATCGCCTGTGGAATGGAATTGTGGGGTATGAGATAGCACGAGATGCCAGCATGCCGGGAAGCTGTTTGGAGGCAGGTGTAAGGGGCGTTATGGTATTTGGTTACAGGATGACATACAGTAACTATGTGGCCTGTGTGCGTGTGCTTATAAGCTGACATGCTACCAAAATAATGAACATGATGCTGTATTTGGTGGTAGGTCATTTAAATGTCTTAACTGGAGCACATACTGTCAGCTGACTTTTAAACCTTAATAAAAAACCTATCGAACCTATCCCTACCTAATCACATCTAGCCTTGCTTAACCTTGCTTTCAATTTTACGTAACCGAACACCAAAATCCCCAGTACTGTATCGAATGCTTCCCAACACCCATGTAATTACCAGTGCTAGATGAATTGGTTCCAAATTTAAGCCACGTCCATTGGGATAGAGATGTAATAGACAAAATAATCTCCCAGAAATAGTATACACTAGATATTATATGGCTTTTTTTAATATGCCAGCATTCAAAGCTAAAATCACAGAAACATTGTTCATAAATGGCATGCTAATTGTGGGGCATTCACTCAAAATGAGAGCTTAAATGGTTCCAAAGTATAAGATATGGAAGTGAGCAAGTAAATAGGGTGAATGGAGGAACAGTTATGTAGAGTGAATTACAAAAAAAAAAAAATAGGCATATAAAATTCATAAACTTAACAGATGAGAAGGTATAGAACACCCCTAGTTATAAGTACAAAATTCGTAGTCCTAGGGTTCGGGGATCGCTCCCCAGCGCAGGTGGAAACAAATGGGCAGAATTTCTTTCACCCTGATGTTCCTGTTCACCTAGCAGTAAATGGGTACCTGGGAGTTACAGCTGCTACGGGTTGCTTCCTGTGTGTGTGTGAAAGAAAAAAAAATTACAGTTGACAGGCAGGCCCAAAGAGCCAGAGCTCAACCCCCACAAGCACAACTAGGCAAGTACAAACCTCCAATGCAACTATTCAGGAAAGTTACAGAACAGTTTTAACCTTAGAAAGTGCAATGATGGTAATATTAAGAAAAAATTGTTTCCAAATGAGTGTAAAATATGGAATAGACAGTGAAAAATATTAAAATTCTGATTGCTTCTTTGTGAGTGATTTTGCTTGAGGTGTCAGAGTCCACCAAAAAGGCATTTTATTACTGTATATTCTCTGCAGGGTTTGGGGTTTGAATCTAAAATGCATTAGTGATTGACGAGTTAGAATTCGTTTGTGGCATAGTGGTAATACACACACTCCGTGCCTTGAAAGCAATTTTGTCTTCGTTCGAGTCCTGCCTAGGGAGGATTGTCTTGGTGCCGATCCTTAGCTGTTCACCCCTGCTCATTCAGTAGTAATTGGGTACCTGTTAACCAGTTGGTGGGTTGTGTTTCAGGGAAAATTAGTAGGGCAAGGCTTACCAATGAACTATGGGAAGGGAAGCTCTCAGTTTGCTAGCAGGAGTCACGAATAATCATCTAATGTGCCCACCTGGTGTAATTAAAAAGGTCGGCGTTTAATCCCCGACCGTCACAGTCGTTGGGTACCATTCCTTTACCCCCCTGTCCCATCCCAAAATCCTTATCCTGACCCCTTCCCAGTGCTATATAATTGTAATGGCTTGGCGCTTTCTCCTTCCATAATTCACTTCACTTCTGACCTGAGGGACACATGGTGGTGATCTGGGAGAGGTGGAGCAAGGAAGGTTACCTGTGACCAACTATAGGTTGCAATGTTTTTATATTTTCTCTTGTTTCTTTTCTTTATGAACGTTGGTTTGTTTATCTATGCTTTTACTTTCTCTGCATTTAACAGTAGTAGTAGATTGATTTTTTATCCCCATATTTCCCTTGCCTCTGTGAAAGCCAGGTTCTGGTCTTGTTCCCTTGGTAGGCCTACAAAAATCATTAGTGGCCTGATTGCTACTAGCAGCTCTTTTGAAGTGGTTTCTTTAGATGACACAAACCATTGAAGGCTTCTTTCAGAAAGTATCATTGCATTAAGTTTGATGTTTTAAATAACTGGTACAAATTTTTCTTTAAATTTTAATACATAAAATTTAGACTTGTGCAAATTATTGTACTGTATTGTATATGTTGTTGAGATTAAGGGTGACGACGTAAATAGACATGTAATCCTTGTCAAGCTGAATTCCTGGTAAGAAAACAAAATGAGACACTATCCGGTAAACAAAGATAACCAGATGGCAAAACTAAAATCACCTAGTGGGTCTGACCACCTGGCGACACCCAAATAACCCCGGCAGGGCAGGAAACCAGCCACTCACACCGCACACTGGAACAACCCCGATAGAATTGAATTGCACTGTCAGGGAAAAGCGCCAAGCCACTACGATTATATAGCACTTGAAAGGGATCAGGATAAGGATTTGGGATGGGACGGGACGGGGGGGGAAGGAATGGTGCCCAACCACTTGGACAGTTGGGGATTAAACGCCGACCTGCATTGAACACCCCGGCAGAGTGAAAGCCAGGTTTTAAGCTTTATAAAAATATTGACTGCTTATTATTGACTATAATGTAATACTGTATGATAGATTCTTCATCCAAATATTGAATACTTTTTGATATACAGTAAGTTGGAATATTTTTTATTAATTCTTTATCATTACCTCATTCTCTACTTTAACTATTTATCCTAAATTTAAGCAACACCTAAGTAATTTAAAGTATTAGCATGTACTGTACATATATTTCAGGGCGTGGGACTCAACATGTTACATGCGGATCAGTTGTGAAACTGTACAATGCTTATTATAAGGTAGGTAAAATATAATTCATGAAGGCATTTTTAATTTAATTATCTTGACAAGGTTTTGTCTATAGTGGTAGCTTGACCACGAGAAATACACTACTTGACTTGGACTGTCACCTCAAAACACTTCTAATTTGATTGTAAAGCTTACAAATATTTTGTCACGGTGAATCTCATCGCTTCTTTTTGTCTAAATATTGGAGGTGAATCGATTATTTTCTTCTATTGGGTAAACGGTTTCCTTTCTTCACTGCCTATCTTCAGAATTTCCCTGGCAAATATCCTGATCCCATGATGATAATCAACTAGTATGTACATGATGATTGATGTTGTGTGAAGAATATGTAACATACATGCAGTGTACAGTAGCATTAAAGGAGAGAAATTGAGTTAAGAATTAGCATGGAGTTTTGTCTGTCAAGAAATTACTGCTTTATATAATGGTACAGTATAGCAAATAGTTTATAGCATGATTTCAAATTTGCTGGCTGGGTAAGATGAATTACTGTATTAGTATATAATTACAAATTGCTGCCTAAATTGACTAATTATATTGAGGCATCATTAAATCAATTTTGGTAGTATTATACAGTATGTATGTACTCGCCTAATTGTACTCGCCTAATTGTGCTTGCGGGGGTTGAGCTCTGGCTCTTTGGTCCCACCTCTCGACCATCAATCAACAGGTGTACAGGTTCCTGAGCCTATTGGGCTCTATCATATCTACTTAAAACTGTGTATGGAGTCAGCCTCCACACATCACTTCTTAATGATAGGAATGTATGCATTCCTATCATTAGGCATGCATTCCATTAATGATAGTATGTATGTATGTATGTATCATGTATGAAATATTGGTTGGTCACCACATTCAGTAAGTAAAGTGCTAGCTACCCTTTTTCTTAAGTTGGGTATACAAACTGCAAGCTCTCGTGGAATGCAACTGCAAATTGTGGATGTGTGTACAGTGACACCTTGGCCTACGAATGCCCATCTTTATGAAGTTTTCGGGTTACGAGCCCAATTTCTTCATAATATCCGAATTGGGCTACGAACTTTAACTCGGGGAAACAAAGTTTGTTGATACACACATGGCCGACCTAGCGCGTGGTGGTACGGCGACTGCGCCTCAGTTTACCAGTGGAAATAATGGAAGTTGTTGATTAACCACAGAATATGCTGCTTTAAGGATTAATAGTTCAGTGCATTTTTAAATGGAATTACAGTACAAGCTATGAAAATTATGAAGTTGTCTTTTTCACAACAAAATCAACTATTGAATGTACAGTAATGCAAAGTCCTTTTCCTACTTGACCCACAAAAACTACAAGCTTAACTCTAGATCCACCAAGCCTTAATCCAACACACCAGGCCTCTAGAGAGAGCCAGGACCAGCATCAACTTTGCTCAATGATGCAAGGGATCAGGGATCAGCCACAAACAATAAGAAAAAATACACAATCAGTTGCTTGTTTGGTTGTGCTTATGCTTTTTTATTATTTATGGTTCTGGCTCTTGGTTGGCAACGATTAGGTCCCAAAGGCCCGATGTGGTGGCCTCGGCTGCCAGGGCTTGGTGGATTTAAGTCAAGCACATGAGTTACTTGGGGGGGGGGAAGAGGCCTCACTTGGCTTTCCTTCGCTGTGTTGTCATAGTTCAGTGACCCATGACTTTGAAAGTTTCAGATTAATAAATCTTTTCTAAAACAGGTGTTTTAATAGATTCTTATTATCCTAATTATATTTCTAAACTAAATATAAAAAATATATACTGTAATATGATAGACATCTGCTATTTGAGAAATTATCTATGTTAGTAGCTCTAGCTTTTAAAACTGGATCGCGGGTGGACTCGCCCGAATAGCCACCCATCCACCCAAATACCTGCCCATCTGCCTGTCCAAATCCACCCAGAGAATACCTGCTCGCCCGAATAGCCACCCATTCGCCTGCACAAAAGCCAACCCGAATAGCTGCCCGTCTGCCTGCCCAAACCCACCACACCGCTCAAGTAGTCTTCCATCCCCCTACTCAAGCCCACCCACACCACCCGCCCAAATAGCCGTCCATCTGCCTGCCCAAACCTACCCGGCCATCTGCCAAAACCTGCCCGCCAGTCAGCCACCAATCCATCCACGATGATGTGATTGATGTTCAAAGATGAACAGTCCAGATTTTCACACTAGTGAAGAATGATTGGAAAGATTTAAGAATAGGCATAGTATTATGAACAGGAAAATTGCCAGAGAATATGTAATATATATTATATAGAGAATATATAATATATATATATATCAGTGCACTCCTCTCATGAAAGGTTCAAACTTTAAACCTTAGACTGACAGGGGTAATGAACACCTTGACAAGTCCAGTACTCTGACTAAATGGCTACCGGACTGTTAAGTCATTGGTAGCCGCAGCTATTTCCATCCAGTGACCCAACAGCAACTCGGTAGCCACAGACCAGGAGTTCGTTTTCATTGGCGCACATGAGAGAGCCTTATATGAGAACACGAGCCCCAATTGTAACAGAAACTTGCATGAACCACAAGACGACTGTATCAGAGAGATTTAAGATTTTAAGAGATTTAAAATTTAAGAATTACCAATGTAATTACAGTACCTAAGTGTAATTACTCGAGTGTAGTTACAGGATGAGAGCTACGTTCGTGGTGCTTCCCAGTGCTCTTTGCCATGTAACGCTTTGAAATTACTGACAGTTTTGGCCTCTACCACCTTCTCACCTAACTTGTTCCAACCGTCTACTCTGTTTACAAAAGTGAATTTTCTTGTATTTCTCTGGCAGCTTTGTTTCATTGGTTTAAATCTATGACCTCTTGTTCTTGAAGTTCTGGGTCTCGGGAATTCTTCCCTGTCAATTTTATCGATTCCTGTTACTATTTTGTGCGTAGTGATCATATCACCTCTTTTTCTTCTGTCTTCTAGTATTTTTGCATATTTAATGCCTCTAACCTCTCCTCGTAGCTCTTGTCCTTCAGTTCTGGGAGCCACTTAGTGGCATGTCTTTGCACCCTTTCCAGTTTGTTGATGTGCTTCTTAAGAAATGGGCCCCATATAATTGCTGCATATTCCAGCTTTGGTCTAACGAAAGTCGTGAACAGTTTCTTTAGTATTTCTCCATCCATGTACAGTATTTAAAAGCATTTCTGAAGATAGAAAGTGTAGCATAAGCTCCTCGCACAAAGTTCTTAATGTGGTCCTCAGGTGACAGTTTTCTATCTAGAACCACCCGTAGATCTCTTTCTTTGTCAGAATTCTTTAAAGATTTCTCACATAATTTATAGGTTGTGTGGGGTCCATGTTCTCCAGTTCCACATTCCATAACATGGCATTTATTCACATTAAATTCCATTTGCCAAGTAGTGCTCCATATATGTGTGTGTACGTGTGTACTGTATATATATAAATTTGTATATTTGTTTAAATTGGATAAGAAATGACATTTTAACTTGTGTATATATAAAACATTACCATGTAAATAAATTTTATTTTTGTATCATTGAAGGTGCGACTGCATTCTCATGATGTTAAGTACGGATCAGGTTCAGGACAGCAATCTGTGACAGGAGCACCGCAGCAAGAAGATCACAACTCCAACTGGCTCATAAAGGGAACAATAAAGCAAGCTTGCAAAAGAGGGTTAGTTTAGTTTATTGGAGTGTTATAATTCGGCAGGACGAGAAACAAACGTGAACTCCACATCGCGTTTTATAACAACAACCACAAACAATGACGTCACTGAGTATAGGTTACATGACTTACTGTTTACAATGCTTATAAAACAAAAGGGCATCTACTCAAAACATTATGCACCTAACCTAAGTAGTACTGTACTTTATCCTATCATGGAGATTTTTCATTTTTGCTCTTTTTGTATTTCACATTCTTTATATCAGATAATGGATTTATAAATTAATAAGCTGAGATTTAGGTCTACAGTCCAATATAAATTAGTTATTCCCAGTACCCTAGCGATGCCTTCAATTCTTTCAGATTCTTCCCTTAACAAAATTGTTGTGTGTAATATAGTGAGAATGTGTTGAATTGATGCATCAATGTCTACTCAGAGAGTGAGAGTCCAACCTGATGTCCCACACCTGCCTCATCCATGTCAACAACTGGGTCGGAGATAACCAAAATTTTCACCAGTTGACTTGGAACCCAAAGTGGGTGGCTCCTTTGGCAGACACTTGCTATGTGCTATTCTCTTCTCGCTAGGTTATGATGTCTTCCTCGTCCTGTTCAGCTTTTTGTCTGATCAGCCACTCTTGTCACATTCCTTGGGGCTTGTTTAGCAGGCGAGTGCCTTTGTGATGTAAGCTTGTCTCTTCTGGTATAGGGTAACTATTTCTTCTCCACCCAGTTCTGACCCAACCTCTAAGGCTTCCAGATTTCAGGATGTTTTATTTTTTTACCACACTGGTTCCCTATTGTCTGGCCAGTTGAGTCATTCTCAGGTGTCAGAATCCCAGATTTACTGTTCTTGCTTCTGGAAACGTTTGTGGTTTCCTGTTTGCTACTTTCAGGTTTCCAAGGTGTTCTGTAGGATTTTTACCTTGGTGGTGGTGGTTTTTACCTTTTTTACCGTCCAACCACTTAGGCTGGACGGTAGAGCGACGGTCTCGCTTCATGCAAGTCGGTGTTTAATCCCCGACCGTCCAAGTTGTTGGGCACCATTCATTCCCCTCCTGTCCCATCCCAAATCCTTATCCTGATCCCTTCCAAGTGCTATATAGTCGTAATGGTTTGGCGCTTTTCCCTAATAATTCCCTCCCTCCCACCTTACTCTTTCTTATGGTGACACTGGCCCCACATCATTAGCCTCTCCTAATGCTGTGGTGTTCACTTTTAACATTAGTTCCACCAAAGGCCATTGTTCTGTTTCATTTAAAAGCTTCATTTTTGTATTTATGCTGCCCACATGACATGTGCCCCCTAGCATTCCATTTTGTTCTGGCTGTGGCCAGGTTTGTCTTCCCTGGGGTCATCTTGCATTTTCCTATGACCTATCCAAGATCCCTGCTCTGAGGGACTGCTGACATTCTTCTCTATGAGTTACCTTTTCTTGAGGCATCTCACTTTCTGGCAGTACATGTACATGTTGTTCTCCTATACAAGGCCTGTGGCTGGGAAAAAATAATAATTTGACTGTGCTGGTACTTGCTAGCCACCACCTTAACATGATGGCCCCTGCTCCTTTGAGTGTTAAGGGCCGTACATGTAAGATAAGGGCACACTTGGCTGTCGATTCCCTCTCTCGCCAAATATTCAAGGTTGGGGTTGGCTTCGGTCAGACGATTTCCCGTGGTGCACCCAGTGGCCTGTGTCCCTCATTCCTGTGGAGTTTGTTTTATGTGGTTTCTTCCAAATTGTTTTGGTTACCTATCTTATTCCACTACTAACTATTTGCAGCTACTTGGTGGTGTGCTTCAGTTTTTTTTTAAGCACATTGTTATCCTGCCTTGTCAGTCTTGTATGAGCATTATTATTATCCCATAATTTATTGTTACCTTCCATTGTTTTGGTAAATACCCTGTTAATAAATACTGAATAGGCAAACAAATATGAATTTATTACAAATCTAATTCTGTAAAAAATACAAGGCAGCAGTATTAATTTTGTATGTAGTATAGCACTTCTGTTGATGCTTTCTCAGTTGTTTTCACTTGGCTTGGCAAAGTAAATTAATTGTAATTGTAAAAGCAATTGAAGTATAAGATACTAAATTTTGTTTTGTTTTTTATGAAGAGAACCAGTTGCTTGTGGGCAAACAATTCGGCTGCAGCATTTGACAACAAGGAGGAACCTCCATTCTCATCATTTTTCATCACCACTCTCGGATAAGCAGGAGATTTCTGCATTTGGGGAAGAAGGAGATGGTGATTCTGGGGATGAGTGGGTAGTCATCTGTGACGGTGAAGAATGGGGCCGCCACCAAAACATCATGCTTAGACATGTGGACACCGACGTGTATGTATCCCACCCACTTCTGCTGAAGTATTCTCTACCATCATTTGTTTATACTTTATGGCCAGCATTTATTTTGAATAATATATATGATGAAACTGTTTTAATCCAATTTGGATAAACCATTCCGAACAAACATTTCCATTGCTCTTAATCTTAAGCATTTAGTAGTTTTAATTTTTTTATATATAATATTACGCTCTCAAGTATGATGTGTGTGCTGTAATATTATAGGCGAGTAATTCAGCTTCACATTCACTGCTTTCTACATACATAGTTAAGCATTGTAGTAGTCTTCTAGCATTGCACTTGTTTTACACGGATAAAGTTTTCTGGTGAGGAGAGCATTGCTTGTGAGAAGCAAAGTGTTCCCTTACACTCATTCTCTCACTTGGTCATTTTTCTTTGACATCTAGGCCATTTCTGCCCCATTATTGACTTCAGAACAATATCACAAACACTTTCAGCACAGTATTACTATACTGTACTGTATTTACTAAAAAATAACATGAATTGACACACAGTGAGACATGGGGTTGATCAATATTGATGTTAGCACGAGATGTGGTGGGAGTGGGTATACGGTACCACTGGAGGCTCTGCAAGCTATGGCCACTTGTAAATTGTGATATTTTATTCATTATCTGTGGCACAAAAACAATGGGTAGTGAAACAATTTCACAATGGAGGGAGTAGTAATGCTGTGGGAGGGAGGGTAGTGGCATTGTCTTCTGACTGTGTGTGGCCACCTTTTATTGACTGCACTCACCATGCCAGCTTAGTGGTTCACTATGGTGAACACAAATGTAGATACATGTACTTATATATACCGTGTGTATAGAGGGTATAAACAGCAAGAGGAGTAGGTTGGGAGCCGCCATTTTGGCGAGGGCGGTGCGTCATCTGCACAACTTATGTTGTTTACTGGTGACCACGATGGTCTTTGGGCACCATACCAGTTTACTTGTACAAGTATGATGAATAAAACAGGTAGATACTAATATATAATGTGTGTGTATATATAGCATAATAACACCACAAACAATATTGTTGGAGGAGAAATATTAGTGCGCCTGGCCTTGAGGGCGGCAGCCACCAGCTGACTGTGTGAGTAGCTACGTCTTTGTGCCTTTACTCGCCATACAAGCTTAGATGTACAGTTATGGTGAACAAAACATGTAAATACTTATATATAACATCTGTATATAAAAGCAAAAACAGTATGGTGGGAGGAGAATGGTGGCAAGTCAGGTGAGGTGAGGGAGGGAGGGACAGCCAGCCAGTGGCGGACTGCTTCGCCTGTTTTTTTCCAGACTTCCCCACCCTATAGCGGGCAATATATGCTACTTACAATTTTTTTATTATTTTTCCCATGATCAGTGAACACAAATTAACAGGTTAGGAAGAAAAAGAGATTTTTTTTTTTTTATATGCACCTGTGGGTGTCAAATGGTATATAGCCATGCGCCATTTAAGGGTTAGGGCACACTTTTGGTTTGCAGCCGGCTCTCGTTTTCCTTATGCCACCTTACATGGTGACTTAGGGCTCTTGCATTCTTGAATTTCCAGTTATGTTGCTTTCTTGGGCTTGGCATGTTATGATTTTATCAAATTTCCAGGGAATCCTTTTTTTTCTCTTTTTTTCTCCCAGGGTCCTGTACCCTACATATTTAGTAAGTTTTTTTTTCACCAAGGCCAACTGGCAGGGAAGGGTTTCGAACTTCTGGCATGCGCCGACGAGAAACAATGGGCAGAGTTTCTTTCACCCTATGCCCCTGTTACCTAGCAGTAAAATAGGTACCTGGGTGTTAGTCAGCTGTCACGGGCTGCTTCCTGGGGGTGGAGGCCTGGTCGAGGACCAGGCCGCGGGAACACTAAAGCCCCGAAATCATCTAGAGATAAACTCAAGAAGCCATAAGTAGAGGGGGGGGGGGGCTACTGGAGGAGCCAGCCCCCAAAAAAGCGGATTTTCATTACACTCGGTGCATTACTGTACTTTTTTTTTTGAACAGGTACCTTGGTGTAACAGGACAGCAGTATGGTCGCCCAATCAATGGACAAAATGAAGTGGTGGGTTTATCACGACCAGGAGTACAAGCCAAGTGGCAAACAATGGAAGGAGTCTTCATCAACCCATCACAGTTCTCAGATGACAGTAGAATATTTCACGATCCATCGGAACTCTGATGTTATTTTCATAGCTTTATTTTGTGAAATGTCAGTATTCTTCTGTTTATAGAATATCTTTTTTTATATTGTAAGTAGTAGTGATAAGGATGAGTTATTTATAAAATATTTAAATTATGATATGTTTAATATTTAGAACAATTTGTAAAGATGTAACATAGTCACAATAATATTTTAAGTTTATCAATGATTCTGCTATTAGATTCAAGTACTGTACTGTATTTGGATTTTGGATTAAATATAAAAAATTTCACTATCATCTTGCAAAACAAAGTTGTGATCATTTTTGACATTGATGCACACACAGTATACATGAACATTAATGTAGGGTCACAAAATCATTTATAGTTATTACAAGAAAATACTGTATGCTATAAATAAATGGTGTATTTACAATTATTAGGGCATTATTTGTGACCTAAAGTGAATAAAACTGATGAAAGAATGTAGTTTCACTTGTATTTTATTGATGGTTCTAGCAGCATCAGAGCTGTGTATCTTTTTAAAAGTAAAATTTATAGTTATCTTGAGATAATTTCGGGGCTTTTAGTGTCCCTGCGGCCCGGTCCTCGACCAGGCCTCCACCCCCAGGAAGCAGCCTGTGACAGCTGACTAACACCCAGGTACCTATTTTACTGCTAGATAACAGAGGCATAAGGTGAAAGAAACTCTGCCTATTGTTTTTCACCGGCGCCCGGGATCGAACCCGGGACCACAGGATCACAAGTCCAGCGTGCTGTCCACTCGGCCGACCGGCTCCCTTGTTGTAATAACTATAACTTGTTGGTCTTGTAATAACTATAACTATAGTTGCAGCAATATTTTTTTTAATCTGCATAGGGGTAAAATTCATGCAAAATTTGCAGTTTTCAGAGAATTGAATTGAAAGTTGTGTTAATATTAGAATGGACATTCCACCTTTATAATGACAAATTTTTGGATTGCTACACTAGACAAGCAAGATGCTATCAGTTTAGATTTTATAAATTAATATTGTAATAGCAGCAGTATTTTACACGTGTGTATTGCATTATTACAATGCCTACTGGATGGCATTCCTTGAGGTAAGTTGACAGTCTTGAAGAGGTGCTGCTTGGTGGAGTGTTTATCACCAGCTTCACATGCCTTAACTTCTCAACTGCTCCGGCCAACAAATGTAGTTTTGAGAGTTCTGGTTTTTTTTTAATTAGACTATATTTTAATGTTTTTAATGTCTTCATTACTTTTTGTGTTTTGAAATGAAAATAGTTTAGTTTGGAAACATTTTGACATTAACTTTACCTGAACATTTATAAAAACAAAAATATCTCCTTAACAATTGCATTTTGAAGGTTTTGTCAAAATCAGGTGTGCAGTGCAGGGGTTAAAGGGCTGGTTAAGTTATTATGGAAGTAGTACTGTTGCTAGGTGTTAACTGCAAGGAGACAATAGGTATAACAAGTGTGTGTACATCTTAATTTGTTCACTACCTATGGCAAGTTATACAAATTAGAATTAGAGTAGAGCAAACTATAACTGAAATAATTTGCTTGAAATTTATCAGGTTTAGAACCTTACTTTTCAGCTGTATTTTACGAGGTCCTTCTAGTTCTTGTTCCAAGGAGTAGAGATTGAGTGCTTTGAGTTTGTTCCAGTAGTTTAAATGACTCACTGCATGCATTGAAGGATCTCTGCACAATTCCTAGCTCTATCTCGTCTGCCTTGAATGGGGACATGAGAACTGGACTATATTCCATACGAAATAACACTATTGCTTTGAAGAATATGATCATTGGTGTGGCATCCCTTGTATTGAAGGTTCTCATTATTCGTCCTATCACATTTCTTACTGTTGCAATGTTTGCTTTATTATGATCTCCAAATGTATTTAAGTAATTTAAATTTGTCATCATTGAATGTTATTTTCAGTTACCCATTGTAAGACCTTGTTAATATCAGACTGTAATATTCATGCATCTTCCAGAGGATATTTTGGCACTTTGGTGATTGTCAACAAAAGATGACACCCGGCTACGTTGAGCCCATACCCGGCTTCGTCTCTGACTACTCCTACTTTCTCCATTTCCCTCCCACTTCTTTGGCTGGGTTGAGCCAAAAGCCTCCAGTGGTGATTACCTCATCTGCTGGTGTGCTCCATCTTCCATTGTGACTGCACCATTTATCTCCTCTTCATTAGGGTTCCTAACACTGTCACCACATTCAGACATTTGCTTCCTGCTACCACTGCCATGTTCCAGGATTCATTTCGCCCTGCTACAGGGTCTAAGTATTTTGATCTTATCACGAACATACCCACCCTGATGTGTACATTCATAAGCACTAGTTGGCTCTGTGGATTCCCAGGTTACTTTTAATCCACCTAGACTGGCACATGTAGTTGTAGCCCCTTCTTAGGAAGCAGCCACCTGACTAGCTACTTTGTCCTGCATTAGTGAAACCCCAGTTTGGGTGTCCACAAATACCGTTGAATGTCAGCATTGACACTTGTTTTTCTGCACCATGTTACAACTGGAGATAGACTTCAAAGACTTCCATGAAAATATTAACCCCCCCTGCACTGCGCACCTTTTAAAATTACATTCCCGTGGTGCACCAAAAATAAATTTATCTAAAAACAGTATTTTTGCTTTTTGTATTGTAATTAGCACCTAGGAAACACGAAAATACAAGTAAAAAGTCCCTACCTTTTGTAGTTTAGCTGTACACGTGTCCATTATAAATTCCGACATGCTTTTCTTGCCTTGAAGTACCACGACTATTTCTTTCCAAGAGGCTTTGTGGAAGGTCTGCTACCTTGATGTTTCCTCTACTATTACTTATGGTAGTGTGTTTCTCGCTATTCTTACCCACTCTTCTTCACAGGACTAGTTTATAAATTCATTACAAGCAAGTTACAGGTAAGTGATAAAATTAAAGCGGTTGAAAATGTGGTAACAAGTTCAGAGAGGATGATAAAGAAATGTGTGAAACACTAAAGTTTTCCAAAATGTGTTTGTGCAAAATAAAGCTTTCAGAGAATAGAGAGAGTATATAGGTGCCTTGAGGTAAAGTGGAAAAAGCTCAAGAAGCTCAGTAGGAACAAAGTGGTTGGCCCAGATGGGCATTCACCTTGGGTTCAGAAAGATGGAGCATCTGAGCTCGGCATACCCTTCAGTTGATTTTTTAATCACCTTTGTGTACAGGAGTATTGTCAGATATATATATATGGAAAAACCAGCATTGGATGTAATGAAATGCCAGTTTCTGGGTGAGCCCCAGTGACTCCCTTAAGCTACAATTGATAATGCCAAATACTAGGTGTCATCAGTTGGAGTTTTTAGGGCTATCAGGACCATGAGCAAGAACCTGGCCCCCCCACTAAGGAGGCAGAGCAGTAGCACGATTATAAAATTGTCAGTGAATTTTATTAATGTCTGCCACCACCAGGAAAGCTACCATAAAGTTAGAGACAAAATGGCTTCCTTATAAGCACAAAGACTTAAAGAACTTAGAGATCTAAGGGTGGTTCTGGATAGTAGAATGTCATCAGAGGAATACAAAGAACATTGTAAGAGCAGCATATGCTGCACTTTCTAACTTCAGAATTGCTTTTAATTACCTGGATGGTGAAATACTATAGAAATTATTTGACTTGAGACTGAAATTAGAATATGCACCAGTTGTATGATGCCCATATATCAAGAAGCACTTAAACTGGAAATGATGCAAAGGCATGTTACAAAATGGCTTCCAGAACTGTAAAAACAAAGAGTTATGAAGAGAGCCTAGAGACATTAAATATGCCAAAACTAAAAGATAAAAGAAAGATGCAATGTGATCATCACATACAAAATAGTAACAGGAATCGACAGAATTGACGAGTTTTTGAAAATGGCAACTTCAAGAACATGAGGAAATAGGTTCAAACTAAGGAGAAACAGCTGCCGCCAAAATAGAAAGTTCACTTTGGAAGCAACTTGCAACTTGTCACTTGTCACACTCGTCTACCATTCCAAGTGAGAAAGTGGTGGAGGCCAAAAAGACCTGTTGTTTCTAAGCAGCATATGATGATGAGTACTTTGAAAACATGGCAATACGAGCACAGCTCTCATCCTGTAACTATACTCTGGTAATTGCATCCCCCACTATTGTGAGAAAATTCAAAATTCTCAGAGGAGCTGAAGGTAACCAACAAGCAGCATGAGCATATTATAATGTTGTTAAAGGCCCAGGCAGTGTACTTGATGCTTTGTTTTTGAGATAATGATGTCCTTGTATGTTAAGATGCTGGGTTATCCATTTTATATTAAAGCAGGGACAACATGGAGAACACAGGGCAGCCATCGCCACAAATAGTACAGCAAGCTGGTAGCTCATGCTAATGTATTTTATGTAGCTTGATAAATGATTGTGCTTTCATATATGCTGAAGTACCATGCTCAGTCTTCCAATATGTATCCTTGTGACATGGGGATGGAACATATTCTTAGATCATTTGAGCAACAAGAGGAGAGCTGAAGTTGGGAGGGTTCAACTGTTAAGTGCAATTTGGCATGGCAAAAGGGGGCTAGAGCATTTATCACGAAGGGGTAGGTGAACATATCCACCTGGATAGTGGAGTGACCCTAGCATTTTAACATAGGTTTGATATTACTATGGCAGTTCTCTTGATTCGTAGCTCCAATGGAAAGATAGGATGGGATAATGATGGTACAGTAACAACAATTGTATTCAGTTGGACATTTTTGGTGATCACTAGCACCTGACCAACATATGGTGAAGGATTAGGATGGAGTCAAATGAGTTTGACACAGCAAGGGAGGCATATGGTGCCATTATTATAAGCTTCCTTGTTGCATCAACTGTGTAACCAATGTTACACTGTCACATAGATGGTAGGAAGGAGAGAGAATTTCCAGGGAAGTGGCTAGTCAGGGCCCAACACAGGAGTGGGGTCATGAGGGAGCTTCTTTGGGTGCAAAGGAAGAACAATACGTTTAGAGTGGCAACACTCTTGGGGTTTAGCTGCCAATCGCGTGAGCCTCAGAAGATTAAATGTCTCGCAATGGTATACAAAATTTAACTGGAAAAGATCATTGGGGCAAATGTGGGGAAAGAGACCTTCGACAAGCTGCCAGCTTCCTTTCCTCATCAAGGCCACTAGTATTGGTGGTCTTCAGGTAAATTCAGGTAAGAAAATTTAAGAAGACCTGTGTTACTACATCACCCATGACAGGTCGAGAAACGGGAAATTAGGGATAGCATATGCAAGTCACCATTCAGAAATCAGATGGTATACCAGGAACCAATAGGTATTCCAACTCCTCTCTGTTTACTTGACCCCTAATCCAACTAACTAAACCTGCCAATTCATTCGCCCAAAGCCAAAGAAGTGTGTTACTGCTCAGGAGCAGTAACACACATCTTAGGCAGTCAACTTCCAGGTGAAGCTTATGGGGAATTATG